GACGAATTGAAGCCACTGAAGATATTGCAAATCAATTATCAAAATCAAGAAATAGCGTCTATTTACCACATGGTCCTCAAATATTACTTAACATTACTGGTGCTATGCAATAAAAATATTGTTCTTTGTTTTCATAGTAAACTAACGAGATTGATTTCGGAAAATAAAAAGGACATATAAGAGTTTTTTTTGTAGGTGTGTATGTGTGTTTATAAATTATTGAGAGTACTAAAGCATTGTATTGTCCTGTTTTTTGTTCGATTAAAGAAAAAGAAGATGAAATTAACAATTCTCTGGATGATATTAAAGATTCGAGTACGATTGAAATGATGAATTTCGATAATCTCTTTCGATGTTTTATATTAACTCAATCATTTGTACGTGGTTGGGGAAATACGTTTCATTTACAAGAAGTTTTTACCTATCGACGTGAAAAAATTGGTGTAAGAGATGAGTGTTTAGAACTTGTACCAGCTGAAAATGTACAGGAAAATACTGTTGAAATAATGAAACAAGAAACAAAAAGATAATTAAAATTATATAAATGCTCGATTTGGTTCATCACTTGCCAATTATTTATCACATTTGGTAAGTAATTAAAGTTATTTTAATCATTTAATTAATATTATCTTTTTTCTTTTGTTGTATTTATTTAAATAGGTTTCATCTCAAGTAGCTACAGTTCATTTTCAACTTGTTTTATCACGTGATCATCGTTTTGGTATTGATTCAATTCCAATAGGAATTTGTTATGCTGGAACAGGTGATCATGGTTTTACTCGACGAAGGTTATTTACTGCAGTTCCATTAATTAATCAATATCCTATAGGTTCAATTCTTCTTGAAAATTCATATTATGGTTTAAGAAAACCACCAGATCAATCTCGTTCATCATTATTGTATGTTATCGATTTATATATCATAGGTGAAGTACTTGCTTTAGAAACACTTATGCTACTTCATTGGTGTCAAAAAATGAAATTAACATCAGCTACTCTACATGGTTTTTCTCTTGGTGGACATATGGCTTCATTAGCATTTACAAAGTAAGATTCAATTCTATTATTTGATCTATTTAATGAATGGATATACAGTATCTATCATAATTTCAAATAATGATTCAAGTAGAGCAAACCATATTACAAAAAGAATATAAATTAAA